AAAAAAAAACCCCAAAATAATAGATTTGGTCTTAAACCACCTACATACTGAACATATAGAAGCTATTTCTCTTTCTTGTTTTTCATTCATTATTAGATCTACTCATGACTATACCAAGATTTTCTTTACAGATTTAAAAAGGGCTGTGCAGAGTAACTACTAGATATACAAAGAATGTTTTGATAGCCCAGGCTTCCACCTTCCTTCAACAAATGAGCCAACCATCAAGCTGGTATGAAAACACAGTGCTGTAACACTGTATGGGCATCTGACAACACCAGGTGAGATCTGCCCACACCAGCCTCAGACCCCRCTAGGTGTGAGCTCTCTTCTGTACCACACACCAACCTATGGGCTGGGAAAACTCAAGAAAAGGGAGAACATGCTTTGGCAGATGGCCCAAGGACCGAACCCTGAACATGGATGACCCATTCCTGGACTGCAGTGTCCCTTCCCCTGGCTGTAAACAGGCAGCGGGGTCTGTCCCCGTTCCCAGCTGAGGGCTGGCTCTGCAGAGAGATCTGCCCTTTCTCAAGCCACTCTTCACGGCTCCATCCCCTCTGCTCCACAGTACTCCCCGGCACCTGAGCTCCCCATCTCACCTCACATCCCATCTCACTCATGCTGAGGGGCCTGCAGCTCCCTGAAGGCCTGTTCATAGAATCATAAAATCACCAAAAGTTAAGGGGTTGGAATAGACCCTAAAGATCACCCAGTTCCAACCCACTCAACCAGGTCGCTGAAAGCGCCATCCAACCTGGGCTTCAACACTTCCAGAGATGGGGCATCCACAGCTTCTCTGGGCAACCTGTACTGGTGCCTCACCACCCTCACAGTAAAAAATTTCTTGTTAATATCTAATCTAACCTTCCCCTCTTTCAATCTGTACCAACTACTCTTTGTCCTGGCACTACAGTTCCTGATGGACAGTCCCTCTCAGATACTGGAAATTTGCTGAGTTCCCCACACAAACTTCTCTTCTSCAGGCTGAACAGCCCCAACTTTCTCGATTTGTCCTAGTAGGGGAGGTGCTCCAGTCCTCTAATCAACTTCGTGACCCCCTCTGGACTTGCTCCAACAGCTCCATGTCCTCCTTGTACTGGGGACACCA